TGTGCCCCGGACCCAAGGGTGGCTGCTCGCAAGGCAGCCTGGTCCGGCGGCATCGGGAGTGCAGTCGTAACACTCCCGGCGGGACTCAGTTTTCTGAACGGTTTGAGCAGGCGGCGGGCTTGTCGTCGCCGCTCCACAAGTAAACTTATACTTCATCCACATCCGGTACGTGGCCTCAGCGATGCCATGATAGGTTTCCTGAGTCGGCTGCCTTGTCCCGGAAAATGATGATGAGGTGGACGCCTTCTTCTTGCCTGTGCCGTTGCACTTGGGCGTAAAATCACCTCTCCGGGGTGCTGCTACCGTGTCACCCTTGCCCATGGTAGCAGCGTGTTCCAAAATATAGGTGGCCGGTGAGTCTGCGGCTACCACAACAGGTTGTTGTTCTAGCTGTCCCTTGTTCGCTGCCGCAGATGCCGGCAAAGTAATCTGCGGAGCCCTGTGTTCTGCAGCTGCTGCATCTTTTGCCAAGCGGCGAGCCTCCTCTGCCTCTGCCTCCCTCTTCTTACGAGCGGCAGTACTTGCGGCCAGTCTGCTCTCGAGCTCCTCAGTAATGGAGTTCAGGCAGACTATGTAGGCGTCGGCGGTTTCACCTGGCTCGCGGCATAACAAATCGTCTACATCAGACTCCTGTTCCCTGCGGTCCATAGCTGCGGTCTGTTCCTAGTCCGCAGAAGACTGCACTGCTGTCATGGCCTGCTGATGTGTCACCACTGACGTATCGATGTCGAGGAGGAGGAGACGCCGAGGGAAAAAAAAAAAAAAGAAGAAGAAGAAGGACAGCATGCACAACAGGGGTGGGAGGGAGGGAGAAAAAGTTCACAGCATTTCCCTGCCCCCCATGGGGCGAGACAATCGCCCAGGTTCACTGCAACTGGGGGTAAGAAGTTCCCCGTAACTGCAGAAAATAAAAAAAGAATCAATGGGGTTTGTATGATCACCCCGAATGAGGGAGCTAGGAGGGGACTTACTCCAAAAAGAATACGAGCAAGTCTCGAGAGTCCCTAGTCCCACCCGTTCTGAATTCCGCTAAGCAGCTAGCAGACAGAAATTTCGGAATGTCGGCTGAAAGCAATCAGAAGGGAATCACAGCAGCGTACAAACAGAAATCCAAAAAAAAAATAAAAAAAAATCCGAATTTCAAACTGCAAATGATTAATGATAATAGACGAATAATAATTGAACTGCAAAAAAATTCGCAAGTTCAGGTTATTTCGAAAAAACAAATTTCGGAATACTTCAGATGAGAGTATGCGCAGCAGAATTTCGATCTTGGGGAATAAAACCCCGAAATTTAACTGCAAAGAGAGATCTCCCGAGAAAATAAACATTTTTGGAACCTTGAAGTAACGAGAAACTTTCGAAATTAAAAAAAAAAAAGGAAATTCAAAATTCCCAGCTACCAATTAATGCGCGATTCACAATTACAATAAACGAATCAACGCAAAGGATTCCTACAAAATTTTTGGAATAATTAAGTGACTGAAAGTTCGAAATTTCGAAATAAAGAAAAATCAAGAACTTCAGCTACTAATTAACGCGCGATTCGGAATTTCCAATAAGTTTGCGAAAAAAATAACAAGATCCAGGGAATATTCCAATAAATTCGCGAAATAATTTTCTCGTTTGAAAAATAATTTCGCGGAATAACCCTGATAATTGGTGGACATAAATCCGCGGAGCTTTCCGATTTTCAAGAAAATAAATCGCGGAAATAATAAATAAATCGGCGGAATATTCCGATTTTTCAAGAAAAATAAATTGCGGAATAAACAAATAAATCCGCGAAATATTCCGATTTTTCAAGAAAAATAAATCACGGAAATAAACAAATAAATCCGCGGAATATTCTGATTTTTCAAGAAAAATAACCGCGGGAATAAAACAAATAAGTCCGCAGAATATTCCAAAAAAATAAATCGCGGAAATAAACAAATAATTTCGTGGAATATTTTGATTTTTCGAGAAAAATAAATCGTGGAAATAAACAAATAAATCCGCGGAATATTCCGATTTGTAAAAATAAATCACGGAAATAAACAAATAATTCCGTGGAATATTTGCGATTTTTTTCAAGAAAAATAAATCGCGGAAATAAACAGATAAATCCGCAGAACATTCCGATTTTTAAAAATAAATCGCGAATTCTTCGGGGAATTTTCCGATTTCGTAGAAAACGAGTTTGCTCAAAAGGACAACTAGGCAGAGTTGCAATAATCAGGAAATAAATAATCTACTATCAATCAATCGGTTAAATAATAATGGATCAATCAATCAATCAATCAATCAATCAATCAATCAACTAATCAATCAATCAATCAATCAATCAATCAGTCAAACCTAATTAACCAACCAACCGATCAATCAATCAATCAGTCGATCGGTCAATTGGGTTGATTGATCGATCGATAATCTGGGAGTCCAGATTCACAAGCGCAGCTCCGATACCAACAGTTACTGATACATGCTCAGTCGAGCAATGTATATGGAGCCAATATCCGCAAAGTGATGAAAAGGACTCGTATGGACAATGCAGTGTCAGCAAAGCATCAACCAGCAATGTACCTCTAGAAAATAGCACAAAGTAGCGCAACGAAAGACTTAAAGATGTGACCTGACCGATCAGATACTGACACGACCTCCCATCATACATCACACATGTGAGAGGAAGAGGAGGGACCGCATACATGGAAGAAAGGTCCCTCCTCATACACACACATGAGGAAGATACCACGGATGAGAGATGGGGGAGAGACAGGACGGAGATGGAGGTGAGGAAGAAGACCAACATCGCGATAGTGAAGTCCCGAAATAGCCTCCCTGCCGAATGTCCAATCAATGTCTACCACAAAATGTCGAATCAGATCCTGGGCCAATGCCCGACCTAACCTCTGCCTGTAACCTCTCTCTCTCTCTCTCTCTCTCTCTCTGAAAGAAGAAGAAGAAGAAGAAGAAGAAGAAGGAGGAGGAGGAGAAAGGAGGGAGAATAGATGGAGGGCGAGACGAAGAAGAAGAAAGTGTCGTCCTCCTCGCTGTCTCACCTGCAGGTAACTGCCGCCATGTACTAACTGCCGTCGTGGTCCTGTGCAGGTCGCCAGCGTGAAGAACAGCTATGGCGCCCAGGTAAGTACCGCCGACGCATGTATGGCCTCCACCCCTCTGCCTGCCTACACCTCTACCTCTACCCCAGCATAGCGCGGTACAGCGCTGGTTCAGCAGCGTGTCGCCCAAAGAAGTGGGCTACTCCAACTCTCCCCTCTGTCCTGGCCTGGCCCAGCTATAAGTAGTGCTGGGCCTCGTCGGTCTGCCTCCGTGTGCCTCTGGTCCTAGGCCAAAAACGTGGCCTACAGGGTCTGGGTCCCGACCAGATGTCCAGACCCTGCCTGCTGATGCCGCAGGGACGTCCGTAACTGGACGAGCACGAACCTGGCCTCAAAGGGCCCTGCCTCCTGGTGTACCCAGCCCAAGGTGCAGCCTTGGGGACTGCAAGTTGGAAACGATGCCTGAACAGACAAAAAAAAGACAGCAAACAAATAAATAAATAACTGAATGCTGTCGTAAATCAAATCCTGCCCCTAGGGGCCGCCGTGGGCCTCCAGGGTGCACGTCAAAAGGGCGCGCCCGTGTGCAGGCACAGCATGTAACACCCTTTCTCCTCATCCTCCTCCTCATCCTCCTCCACCGCGTGCACCCCCTCTGCCACCACAACAGACACCTCTGCCAGTTCTATCTCATCACTTCGTCCATCTCCGCCACCTCCTCCGCCTGCCCCACCCCTGTCAACCACCTCCTCCTCCTAATGATTGCCCCTGCTTCCTTATCGTCCCTTGTCCCCGTACCTCCTGCTGTTCCATCCCCTCTACCACCACCTCCTCCTTGTTTTCCACCATCCCTCCACGTCCTCCACCAACTTCACATCATCCTTCGTTCTCCACGCTGCTCCCTCTGAGTCCCTCACGATTTTTTTGTTCCCTGCCGACAGTAGACCTCTTGGGGACTTAAAAAAACAAAAAAATGGTTCACCTTTACGGTCCTTGCGAATTGAATGGTCATCCATCAACCCTCTCATAGCGTACTCACATGCGCACTTTCCTGAGAAGTATCTGACTGATCTTGCAGCCAGACTTGTTTTGGGACAAAAGAAAATACAGTCAGACATGGACGCATTTGATTGTAATCCTGTCCACAGCTCAGTCGAAAAGGTCCTACCGATTTCACCCGAATAGAACACCCGGTCAGTATTGAAATATCTGGCCGGAAAGGTGCCCCAAATACAGCTGTAATGACCGGGCGTTCTATTCGGGTGAAGACGTTAGTGTGAGTATGCCCTCAGTCTTTTAGCAAAATCAAGCCGAAATGAGTGCCTTTTACCTTTTTTTTTTTTTTTTTTTTTTCCAATTAGGTTTCAAAAAATAAAAAAAAATCAAAAAATCGAGCCAAAATCAGGGCCTTTTACCCTTTTTTTTTTTTTTTTTTTTTTCTGCTGCTTCAAGTATTGTTATTATACGTTTTTAAAGGGCTATGCAATCAGGTTTCAAAAAATAAAAATTTTTCAAATAAATCAAGCCGAAATCAGGGCCTTTTAGCTTTTCGAAAATCCATAGCTTTTTTGATTTTTTGAAACCTGATTGGGGTGCCTTTTGCCTTTTCTAAGGAAGCATCTGCTCGGTGATCCACGGGACATAGGGGTTCGTTCGACACTCCCTGGGCCGTCCTCGGGGCCCGAGAAAACCCATCGTCGCCCGAGGAAATTCGTGCCGTCGTTCCACTCATCCTCGGAAATGTTCCCCGAGGACGATCCCTCGGGGCGACGTTGTGTTCGTGCCGACATTGTTGGTCCAGCCCGTGTGGGCATCGCGAATTCGAAAGTTGGCGGCGAAAAAAAAAAATGGCCACGAAAAAAGCGCGCAGTCCCGGATTCGAAATTCGAAATTTGAATTTCCGCAATCGAGTGACGGCGGCGTGGGCGTCCCTTGCGGCTGACGGCAGCAACGTTCCTCGGCGGAAGCGTTTGGGTATGGGGTGGCGGCTGCGTGCCAGCGGGCACGCCGAACGTACATGTACACGTCCGAAGTAGCAGACACGCCGTCACACGATCGCCATCGTTGCCGTCTTCGCAGGCGCACCTTTGTCGTCGACGTGTACGCCGTGCACTCCGGTCGTCACTCGCAGCATCACTGTTGTGCACCCCGACACACGTGGAGTCTTCTGTACTTGGCGACGCCCACGTCGACAGTACCAGTTTCGGCGACGGATATGAACGGGGAGGCGGGCCGTGACACACTGAGCAAGGTGGCGGTGGCAGCGGCCGTGAACGCCATCCTCTTCCGGTGTCAATTGCAGAGGAGCGAGGGGAGGATGAGAGCGGCCATTCGCGCACGGCGGAAGAGGATGCTGCAGTCCATGAATGTGGACGTAGAGGACACTGGTGCCATTTGCGACGCCGTACTGCAGGTGTGCTACGCCATGGGGTGTGGAACATTTCCCAGAGCGACGCCCAAGTGGTGGATGAAGCGACGGACAAGGGGGACATGGGAGGATCTGCGGCAAGGCAACGAGGCGACGACCAACTACTTCAAGGACAAGCTGCGCATGTCGCCACGTGTGTTCCGAGAGATCGCGGAAGCTCTGTCTCGTTTCCTTGAACGGCGTGTCACTTTCTATAGGGAGTCCCTCCAGCCTGACCACATTGTCGCGTACGCTTTGTACAGGTGGGCGTCGGGGGAGACGTACGAGAGCGGGGCATGCATCTTCGGCATTGGCAAATCTTCAGGGTTGCGCGCTGTGCGGGATGTAACTGCGGTGTTGCTGAGTGCGTACCCCGACAAGATACTGTGGCCGACGGGGCTGCAAAAGGCGGTCGTCTTACGCGCTTTCGCTAACAAGGGTTTCCCTAACTGCAATGGGTGCATCGACTACACCCACATCTTCATCGACAAGCCAACGAATTGCCCCGGGGAGGACTACTATGATAGAAAACACCGCTTCTCCGTCCAGGTGCAGGTCGTTGTCGATCTGAACTTGCGCGTGCTGGATGTGTTCGTCGGATATCTAGGAAGTTGCCACGACGTGCGGATCGCCCACCTGTCGAGTTTATGGGCGTGAGCGGAGGCAGGGGAGCTTTTCACTGGGCCACCTGTCATGCTGCCTTTCGGTGTGCAGACGAACGGGTATCTGTTGGGCGACAACGGTTATCCCCCCTCCGAATGGGTAGTCGTCCCCTATGGCGGTCTCTCACAGCACCCGCCGGAGCTGCATTTCGACAACAAGCAGAAGACGGCGAGGGGAGCAGTTGAGAGGGTTTTCGACAGACTGAAGAGGATGTGGAGGTTGTTCCTTCGCTCCCACAAGACAAACATGGAAACGTTGCCGCAACAGTTCGTTGTCGTCTGCATTTTGCACAACTTACTCATCGACGTGGGGATCCCCTTCCACGACAATCTACTGTGGGAGGCCGGGCCGGACGGTGTGCGTCGCAAGGTGGACCTTGGGATGCAGCGGCCCTTGAGGTCGATGTGTATGGAGTCGTCGACGGGGGATGCGCTCGTTCTGTGGGACTCACCGGCGGAGCGAATGGGCGCGCAGTGAACACGGCTAGGCGTGCGGAGCGGGCGGCTGCGATGACGTGGCTGCGGCGAGAAATCGGAGCACACGACGCGGGGAGCAGGCGAGAAATAGGAGCGGACGATGCGGGAGGCGTCTTGTCCTTGATGGGGTGGTCGTTTGCGTTGGCGTCGTTGTGTGTGTCGCCCCGTTTTGTGGAGCTGGGGAGTTCATGGACCGGTGGCTGTTTCGTTGTGGGTTGGTGTGCATGAGGCGGCGTGTGTCAACAGGTTTGTTTGGTGTTCTTTCGTACTGCGCACCCGTGAGGACGGTGTCGGCTGCTCGGGTTGTTGGCGATGGCGAAGTTCAACACGTCGTCGACGGGGGAGACGTTACACGCGTGCACATGCCGATCGTGGTTATCGTGTAGTATGTTGTCACCGTGGGTGACGTATCTGGGTGTCGGAGTTGATTTCGGGGGTGTGTTCTGTTTTCCGGATGTTGGGAATGAGGTTGCCATGAAGGCCTTTTTTTTGCAAAGTGTGCCATGTTTTGCTTTTACTACGAGTGACAACAATCTAACAACATATCATGTCAATTATTTATGTTGCGTGGCTTGTCTTCTTATTTGACGACGAATGAAAAGAAAACAATTGCACGACGTTGTGTGTGTCATTTCTATTGCCTTCTTTCCTTCTCGCATTTGCAATGTCGTGTATGAACATCCCTCACTTTGTCATCATCCATCGGTTCAAGCAAGCATCCCTGACCCCTTTCCATCCCCCTTACCATAACATTCGTGAATGCAAATGAAAGCGGAATAAAAAGGAAGCGACAAGAAGATGTAGACATGATCAATATCAATCAACACAATTAGATGTTCGCTTTAACTGATGCGATGTTCCAAAAAAAAAAATAAAAAAAAAGAAAGGCTCATGGAACACCCCTACGACAACCGATCCGCCAAAGTGATTATCACCATCACGGGAATGTCCACTCCCATGACCGATCACCAAACCCACCCCC